TTCCTTGAACCTTTTATAATTGATTGTAGGAGTTTTTTTTTTAAATAAAAACTGAGCCTCAAACTCAAAGTACATCTCTGTTATCTGTCTCTTTCACATACCTTCTACTTTGAGAATTGAACTTGGATGAGTAGTTCTGATGTAAATGTTCATTTTCCTTTATCAACGTTATGAAGATTTGCCTATATTTTCTTAAAGTTTATCCAGCAGTTAGTTGGATGCATGGGGCCCTAGGTTCTGTTTCTGGTAGGGCAAGAGGAAAAGTTTATCTATGATCTATCATACTCTGTTGATTTGGAGCCATTTATTGGAAAGTGTTCCTGGACCACTTTAATGTTAGTTTTTTTTTCTTAGTGTGAGTTCTCTATTTTCTTGGTCTCTGTATCTATCCTTGCATCAACCACATGTTTTTATTATTGTACCTTATAGTTAAAGCCTTCATATTTGCTAATAATTGTTCTTAAGATTGCCATGGTGATTCTAAACCTTTGCATGTACTTGTACATGTTAAAATGAGTTTGGAAAAGTGAGCTATGGTTTTGAGATGTGTTGCATGGCATCCGTAGGTTCACACTAGGGAAATCCATTACCTTTATGCATTGAATGAAGATGGCACGTCCTCCCTTGCTCTCAACAGCATTTCTCACGCTCCTTTGTCCTTCCCCTTTGAACCAGGATCTTGCTTTGTGGCTCAGGGTGTCTCAGCCTTGATGCTCCCCACTTTCTCCTTGTCAAAGGGTAGAATTCCATGTGTGCACCCTATGCTGGCCCGCCACAGATTGATGTTGCTTTTTTAATTATCATTCAACTAAAATTTATTTCTGGTTTCATGTGGTTGCTTCCTTGAATCATATGATTTTGTTAGTGATTTGTAAGTTAGTTCTGCTGGCCTCCTGGTTTCAGCTGTTTTGATTTTGGCTTTTTGTGAATTCCTAGAGAAAGTATGTTGAGAGTCTGACTCTTTCCCAGAGGCTTCCTCTCTTGTTAGTTCTCTCAGGTTGCTTCTCAGGTCTTTGAAGCTGTGATAAGAAGTGCACCCCCCCCCCCCCCGCTGCCAGTGGAGTGTATGGGTCATCCTGGAGAGCATCCTCTTTTTCTCTCTGGTCCTGATGAGCTATCTATCCCTTTGTGCTTAATACTGAGCGATTCCCAGCCCTCTCTATGCCATCGTTAATGGTGATTTATGTTAATTGTATAGTTATTGATTCATTCCTCCATATTCTTCCGAACTCATGTTCTTATATAGTTACTTGGTTTTTTAAAAAATTTATTTAATTTCTTTTCATATATGAGAGTTTGCCGGCATGTCTTTGCACTATATGTCTATCTTGCTCCAGAGACCACAGAATATGTAGGATCCCCTGGAGCTGGAGTTTACAGAGTGTTTGGAACAGACTCAGGTCTGTACTGTTTAGCCAGGTCTTCAGACCTTGGTTAGTTTTTAGTGCACCTCTTTCTTGTAACACGTTCTAGCTTTTGCTCACCTTAAGGAATTTTTTTATTGTATCCTCCAGCCGAAGAGGATATAATCTTAGCATAGAGTACAGGCTGATGTGTTACCTTCTGTATGTGTTCTTAGTGCTTTAAAGGAGTCGGTTATTAGTTTTGGAAAGCTAATCCTTAGCCAGAATTCTCCTGCTGTGTTTTCTCTGGGTTCTGTAGCTTCAGATAGGCAATTGTATGCACTTTCATACTCTGTTTTCGGTATGGAGCCCTCAAGCTCAGGCTTGTGGCTGCTAGATAGGCCCCGACCCAGCTCTGACCCTGGCCTTTGTCCACTCTTTCTTTGGTTTGTTTGCATTTTCTCTTTTACATCTCTGTATTTCTATACATTACTTCTCAGTCCTGTTGCTGTTTCTAACTATTGCTTTCTTAATTCCTGTGATTTTATTTCTAGTTCAGGGATTTACACCTGGCTCCCTTATTAGATTCCTAGGACTCTATAGAAACTCCATTTTCCTGGGTTTTATTTTTTTACTCCCATTCTTGCTAATACCAAGCATGGTTATTTTTAAGTTTTCAACAATCCCCAAATTTGAATGTTTTTACATGTTTTGTTATTGTGGTTAGTTAGTCTGTAGAGGTGCTTGCTGTGAAGCCTGACAATGTAAAATTGATCCCCAGGACCCACAAAATGAAAGGAGAGAGCCAACTCCCTCAAATTGCATTCTGACAATGCCCCCATCCCCAACACACACATAACAAAAAAAAAAAAAAAAAAAATCATAATTTAAAGCTTTATTGTTACTAGTATTCTTTCATTTATTTACCCTTCTGGATTGAAATGTAATTCGTATATAACAATGATAACAATGACTATGTTAGCTATTGTAAAGCACACAGTGCAGTGACCTTTACCATTGTGTCACTTCAAAATCAAAAACACAAAACTTCATATGCGCAGCTGGAGAGCTGGCTCAGTGGTTGAACACCAGAGCTGTTGTGGAAGGACCTGGGTTCAGTTCCCACAGCATCTGTAACTCCAGTTCCTGTGGATCCAATGCTCTGTTCTGGTCTCTGGCACCAGGTAAACATGTGGTACACATATATACATATAGGCAAAACACCTATACATTAAAAGAGAGAAATCCTAAAAAAAAGAAAAAATCATATCTGATGCCACTAAATCTCAGTTCCCCCTTCTTAATGTCCATGTGGTCTGCCTGTCCCAGGCATTTGTAACTGGGAGTCTTTTATGTAGCCTCTTTCATCGCTACTGTAATGTGTAACCAAATATCACTCCACTGTGAGGACCTCCCATGTTTTCATTATGCATTCCGTGCTGGCAGACAGTACATTAATTTCACCTGGATTCTTCTGAGGGATGCCTTGGTGAATGTTTTATCTGCAAGTTTTGCATGAATGTGAGTTTTCAACTCTAGAATATGTACAAGAGTTGGAATTGCTAGATCCAGTGCTGACTTGAGAAGTGGCATTTCCATGGTGCCTGCACGTTTTTGGTTTTGTTTTTTTTTTAATACATTCCCACCAGCATGAGTGAGAGTTTCTTTCCCCCCCAGCACTCGCCGTTTCCCGCCTAGTTTTTACTTTGATATTGTCGCAGCCATCCTGCTGGTGTTGAACGTTTACTCCTGTTTTTATAATGCCCTGTGATTTTTAACAGAATGTCAGGTTTGTGGCTGAACAGGTACAGCAATACACTTCCATGTTATTTTCTTCCAAGGCATACCTTAAGTTTAGCAAGGCTCGAGCTAGCCTCGTGAAGGCCAGTCTTTGTGTTTGACTTCGGTCTGGGAAGAGCCTGCTCTGTCCTCCCTCCATGAAGGCCCCCTGACTTGGTGGCCCACACTCCAACCGTCGTGGACTCCCAGCATCCGCTTCACTCCCTCCCTGTGGGTCTTCTCTTGATGTCTTACACGTAGGCTTTCTTTTTCTGCTTGTCAAACATCCCAAAGAACTATTGCCGGGGCTCTTCCTGTGCACAGTGCACTAGAGAAGGCTGAGGGCATGGTGTGGTCTTGCATTTGACGCTCTTTCTGGAGGGATAGCCTCCAGTTCCTCTTCCAGCTTCCTTCTGTTTCCCAGTACTTAATTACTTATCAAGAATGTGTGTTTGTTATACCTTGTGATAATAATAGTGAGCCACGAGGTGTGAGCCACGAGCCACGAGCCACGAGGTAATATATTGAATTACAAAGACTTAATCAGATTTGGATATGATATATATAATTAAATTTTTTTAAAAACAACTAAATTATTAAGTGTGTAAAGATACAAGTTAGACAAAAACCTGAAGATGAAATTTAAAAATTCTTAGTAAAGATTAATGATCTGGATTTACTAATACAGAAATTAAAAGTTGTGTTTTTTTTTTTTTTTTTTAAACCCCCTAGTGGTGCTAATGGAAATGATCAATACTACTGGGCGGGGTGGGGATGGGGTGGTGCATCCATAATCCCATCATTCAGGCAGCAGAGGCAAGTAGATCTTTGTGAGTTTGAGGCCAGCCTCAAACCAATATTTCTGCAACTGTTTGTCTTTCATTAACAATGAATATTTACAATGTCTGCCAAGTGCTGCTATATTCAGATCTGGGAAGCTACATAGTAACTAATTAGAGTGACAAATATGAGGAGTTGCTGAAGTGGGCATCAGGGTAAGGTCTGAAGGAGGAAGGAAAGGCAGGAGGAGGTGTGTGGAGGGTAAGGACTGTATACATGTCTTCCTAATCACAGGTCGTGAATGAGACTTTGGAGAAAAACTAACCAACATTTCCTTTTCCATCAAAGAAGAGGGACAGGTGTTGAAGACCATCTCTCTCTCTCTCTCTCTCTCTCTCTCTCTCTTTCTCTGTGTGTGTGTGTGTGTGTGTGTGTGTGTGTGTGTGTGTGTGTGTGTATGTGTGTGTGTAGAGAAGGGGGAGGGAGAAATTGAGATTCATTTCCTTTTGTGAACTCAGATTTAGTGAGTAGTTTTCTTTAAAATTTCATTAGGAAGTTTGCCAAAGGCATCCTTTAGAGGCCACTGTCTTGTGTCCAGACCATCAATAATGTTCCCAACCAGTGATGGACACAGAAATAAGCTGAGCTGTTAAGTGCTCTTCCACTATTGAAACTCATCTAGGCGTAAAAGGCATCCTTCTTTGAGACTTCTTGTTCTTTTTATATATTGTTCTGTTGTTAGCTCCTTTGCAGGTAAAAGTCTACCATTAATAAACAGAGATGTTCATAATGAAAGGACATATTTGAGGTCATCAATAAATGAAAAATCTGGGTCTAGCTTATTAGGAAATTCCATTTCATTGAGATTATTAGTTAGAACACACTTTAACTATAGTTTACTTTCCAAGGCACTTGAAGTTATGAGGGATATTAAATGTGATATTAATAAGTCTATCACTAAACGCATCAGAAGGCATTAACATGCGTTTGGTGTTTTGTTTCTATCCAGTTTGGTAACATAGACAGCAGCCCTTCCATGTGAGTCTTTCATCCACGAGTCTGCTGTGTCTCATGTTTGACTAAGCTGTCTTCTTTCAGCCGCCCACACAGAATATGCCTATGGGTCCTGGAGGGATGAGTCAGAGCGGCCCCCCGCCCCCTCCTCGCTCTCACAACATGCCTTCAGATGGAATGGTGGGTGGGGGCCCTCCTGCCCCACACATGCAGAACCAGATGAACGGCCAGATGCCTGGTAAGTTTTCTCCTCGAAGACATTAACACCAGAGTTGCTTAGCAACTGAAACGACATGGGGGCTCAGGGGATACTAGATTGTTGATGACAAAACTGCTTTGAAAGCCCCCGAGTCCACGCTCTCTGCGAGTTTGTTAGCTACAGAGCTACGTGACCTGTATTCAGTGTTTATCAGGCTGCCCTTGGGCTTTGATGTAGCTGACACACAGCATTCCTCTGACAAACAGAACTGGCTAAATTTAGTCTGTCTGAAACTATGCAGTACAGTTAGCTTTAGGAGCTTTTGGGGGAAAAGGGATTGTGCCACAGCTTCAGAGTTAAAATCTGTTCATGGAAAAAGTACCAAGATGTTTATTTACCTAAAAATGTATTGATCTCAGACACAGGAGCACAGCAAAAGAACACCTGGGGACAGGGACAGAATTGTCCCTGAAGTGCTGGTATATTTAGTATTTCTTTGCAGATAATTCTGAAGCTAAATCTAGGTTCTTATTAGTACATACGTTTGTAGAGTATCATTCATATGAAAATTGATGTAGAAGCAATATTAAAAGCTGAAAATATAAGTGCCCTTACATTTTGAGCCATCCCCATTATCCATTTTAACTTTAGAATCAGTACAATAGTAACCTTTTTAGGCTATTTGAGTGTTTATCTACTTAACCTTTTGCCAAAAAGAAACCTTAAGCTGTTTTGTTTTTTATAACAAATAGTCTATAGCATAAGTTTTGGTAAAGCATGCTTCACCTTTCATATGGGAATATTTTTACTTTCTGAAGACTAAGATTATTTTCATTAGCCAAAACGAAAAGAGCACTGTTTAATTAGCAATAGAGTAAAGTAAAATAAGGGAACCATTTTTATTATTAAGCCGGATGATTAACATGCACAGCATAGGCTCTTTATGTGGCTGGTTGTGTTGTTGGTTGCACTGGTGTCCAAGGATGACGGACTTAGTAAAAGAAACAAAGAGGAGAGACTGAGCAGAAGATTCCAAGTGTGGAACTGTGTCAAGAGGCTTACACAGCAGTCAGTACTTTTACCCGTTAAGACACACCCATAAATACCTTTTTATAAGTAGAGATTGTCAACTAATAGTGAGGTTGTCTAGAATACTAAATATCCATTACTGTTTTCAAGGAAAGTTTACTGTTTGGTGGAAGAGAAATTGGAAGGTCAATAGCTTATATTGTTTCCATCTGTTTTTAATTTTATAGCATAGTTTTTTGTTTGTTTGTTTCAAGACAGGGTTTCTCTGTGTAGACCTGGGCTGTCCTGGAACTTGCTCTGTAGACAAGGCTGGTCTTGAACTCACAGAGTTCCACCTGCCTCAGCCTCCCGAGTGCTGGAATTAAAAGGCATGCGCCACCATACCCGGCCCCTAGCATAGTTTTAATAGTTCATTAATATAATCTAAATTTCAAGGCCAGTTCTATCATTTGATCTTCGTCAAATAATCTCTAAGTCTGAGGGGTTTCTTTTTCTTCTTCAGATTTTAACAATTTGTTAACGACAATCTCTTGTTTTATTTTAGTTAAGCCTAGAAAGTAAAAGTTAGTTCACATGCCTATGGAACCAGAATCGAAAGGCACAGATGTTTCTGCACCCTTGCTTCTTTAGGTGCTTAGTTGTGGGTGTGGAGAGAAAGGACAGGGGCTCCTGTAATTTCCGGTCTCCTCCCCCTCCCTGAGAAAACACCCTTCACATAAACTTTCCACTCGGGGTACAGACAGCTGTCTCATTCTCTTCAGTGGGTATCCCCGTCACATCTTTTTTTTTTTTTTAAGTGTATAGATGTTTTGCTTGCACTGTGTATCTGTACCACATATACTGGTGGTACCTGAGGAAGCCAGTAGAGAGTGTAGGATCCCCTGGGACTGTAGTTACAGACGGTTGTGGGCTGTGGTGGGCACTGGGAAATCAAACTGGAGTCCTGTGGAAGAGCAGCTGTCTCTCCAGCCTCACTCACACCCTTCGCTATGGATGTGTGTAGTCTGTGTGCCATTGCCTGATGAGGGAAATGAAGTTTCCAGTGTTTTGTATGTCTATGCACATTCATATGTTTTTGCATCCATACATATGGGTACTCCAAAACTTTCTATGTGTAGAATTCCCAGATCTTAAAATGATTGGATTACAAGTCGATTTTATGATGGGTGTAAAATACATTTCAACCTGGGTATCATTAATGCCTGCAATCCCAGCACTTCAGAGGTAGAGGCAGGAGGTTCAAACGTTCTAGGCCATCCATCCTTTGCTGCATAGAGAATTTAAGGCCAGTCTGTGCTACACAATATTCTTTGTCATAAAACCAGTACATTTTAAAATTTGCTAGTCATTGCAAAGTGCTCTGTATGAAAATGGTACTTACCTTAGGTTTGCATTCCTTCAGCAGTGGATGTGTGAAAGTGTTTCTTCCTAATGTGCTGGGTCAGTGCTTGAGAAAGGTCCCGCTGAACCTAGACCTCACTGCCTGGGCTAGGCTAGCTGGCCTGCAGGCCACAGTGACTACAGGGGGGCGGTTTCTCTGTTTTACATGTGTTCCGGGGATCCAAACCTAGGTCCTCATGCCTGCATGGTAAGCACTTTATCAACAGAGCCATGACACCAGCCTCTTCTTCAGTTTTCTGTTATACTCAAATTTATTTTTATATAGTTAAATTTATATATAGTTAAATTTATTACGGCTCTTTAAGTCTACTTATGGCCTTCCCTTTCCAAGATTACTTTCAAAGTTCTAATGTTTGAAATTATCTTTTACATATTGTATTCCGTCAGTATTTAAATTTTTATACACATGAAATTAGTTTTAGTGGAAAGAATGAGGTATTAATCCCACTAGATGTTTTTTCCAAATGCCCTCCTCGCTGAATCCTGTTTCTGTTGCCCCTGGGTATAAATGTTACCATTGTTGTTTATCATTGGCTACATTGTGTACTGGGGAATGTTTTCATACCCTTGTGCTACATTTCCCTGTGGTCTGCTAGCACCACACACCTGGTTGGGCCTTGAGTCTCACTGTACTAGTGAGCTAGTCTTCCTTCCTTCCTCCTAGATAGTTCCTGGCTTTCCAAGATCAGTTTCCTCATCCCTATCCCTAAAATAGCATCCCTGAGAATGGGGGGAAATATCACCATGTACTTTGTCAGAGATACACGTTTAGACTTCACTTACTCTCTGTTGACTAGGCTGTTACTATAGAAATGGAAAAAGACTGATACTGTGCATCTCTTTAACTCCTTTTCCATTCTGACCATTTCTCCTCGAAGGACCTAACCATATGCCAATGCAGGGACCTGGACCCAATCAGCTCAACATGACAAACAGTTCCATGAATATGCCTTCAAGTAGCCATGGCTCCATGGGAGGCTACAACCATTCTGTGCCATCATCCCAGAGCATGCCTGTGCAGAACCAGATGACAATGAGTCAAGGGCAACCAATGGGCAACTATGGTCCCAGACCAAACATGAACATGCAGCCAAATCAAGGTAACGATGCCCATCGCTCCTTCCCTCATGTTCCTCCTCCTAATTCATGATCGCTCTCTTAATTATTACCATTTGTGTGTATTTGTGCGAGTGCCTGCGTGCCTGCATATGTGTGTGTGTGCACACACAAGTGCACATATATGCACACATGCATATACAACTTGAGTCCATTTAGCATTCCTTGTGTATATGGCTAACCAGTTAGGGTTGGATAACATGTTTGGGAGCTTGTCCCTCCCTCCTTCCCTCCCTCTGCTCCCCCTCCCCCCTGCAGCCATTGAGCACTTCTAGTTCTTCATCTAGGTGTAGGACCTTGTGGGATTTCCTCTGTGCGTATTGGCATGTTAGCTAGTGGTGACATGCCAGTCTTGTATTACTGAGGTTTCGTGGGTATGTTTTCCCATTATGTCTAGTGGACACTGTATAGAACCAACTGCCCTGGGGCTCTGGCTGACTCAACAGACATTCTGTTGAGAAGGGGATGCTTTTCAAGATAAATTCCCACTATGTAGCCAGGCTGGCCTGAACGTGCCACAATTTGCCTCAGCCTCTCGATTGCTGGGATTGCAAGCATGAACCTCAGCACTGAACGCTTTGTCTTGAATAGAGTGTGATAGCCATGTTGGTTTGTTTGGAGATTTAAGACAGTCCCTGTCTTAAGTGTGAAGTGTATCATAGTTGTGCTCATGAGAAAACAACATTGAGCTGAAGTTGCCTTGAGTCTTTTTATTTGTGTTTAGAAATTAAAATGCTCAATTTGCCTATTCAAGATTGTTTGCTTATGTAGATTTTATTTTGAGTTCTATGTTGTTGAATTGCTGCACAATGCTGGTCACTGGATAAGGCAACATTTTGTCTCGTGTTAGAATACTGTGGCATACAATTTACCTTCACCAGCACACTATCTTAAAAGTTACCAGCCTGGTCCTGTTCACGTGCTGGGGGCACTTCTGGTGACTATCTTGTGTTTGAGGCAGAGACGCTCCTTCTGAAGGTATGGGTGCCTCTGTGCCCTAGCTAGCTGCTTAGCATACTTACCAGCGTCAGTGACATTGTTACCATGTTTCTCTTTTAATTATCCCGTGAATAATAACTAGAAACCAGTAAGTGGTGCTCAGTTCTGCTAATTGCTGTATTAAAGCATTTGGCATACTGCCACCTTGAAGCTGTTTCATGTACAAATGTAGCGAACTGTGATCTTGAGTATAGAAAAGAATTAGATCACTCAGAGATACTCAGTTAAAGGAAGAAGTGGTTGTGTTAAAATTATTTACGACTAGCCAGGTGTTGGTGGCGCACGCTTTTAATCCCAACCCTCGGGAAGCAGAGGCAGGTGGATCTCTGTGAGTTCGAGTCCAGCCTGATCTTCAGAGCAAGTTCCAGGACAGGCTCCAAAGCAATACAGAGAAACCCTGTCTCGGAAAACAAACAAAACAAAACAAAAAATAACTTACGATGAAATATTGTAATTTCAAAATATAGTCTGGGCTTTTTTTTTTATAATTTTGATTAGATGTGCTCAAGTTAGTTATCTGGATCTTTTGAATGAAAAGCTGGTCTGGCAAATGAAAGTTTCATTAAGAATGTTTTGTTGTTTCATCATAAAACAATTTTTTCTTTAGATTTTATAAAACTAAGCTACATTTTTTTTTCCTATTTAGACATAAAAAACTTTGCCAGATACCTTTTATTTTTTTTGAAAGCTTGAACATTTTTTAAAATGAAAAGGAACTTTTTTACACTTTAACCTCTTAAAAATGTCTCATAGGACCCAAAGTCCTGGGTCCAGTCCTTTGTACTGTTTTGTTCCCAAGTCTCAAATTTAATAAGGGTTGCTTTTTCTGTTTTGGTTTTGCATTAAAAGTGGCTTTAAAAAAATCCTTAAACAAGCACCATAGTGTTTATCCTTGTGTCAAGAAACACCAGGAAAATGTTTAAAAGTACTTGCTGTTGTTTTCCACCTGGGGGGTGGGGTTGGGTGTTGCTTTGTTAAGATTTATACTATGTGCTTGGTGCTTTGGGGGGTCAGAAGAGGGCACCCCTGGAGCTGGAGCTGGAGCTAGTGGATGGCTGTGAGCCACCTAGTGGATGCTGGGTACAATGCTGGGTACCAAACCCATGTCCTCTGCAAGAACAAGTGTTCTTAACCACTGAGCCTGCCCCAACCCTATTCAGTTGTTCTGAGATAGGATTTTGCTGTGTACTCCAGGCTGGCCTTAAACTCTTCCTTCCTTGGCCTTCTAGATTCTGGGATTATAGTCATGTGCTACCAATTTTTTTTATTTTTTAATTTTTTTTTGAGTCATGGAAAGTAAATATTGGTGAAATTCTGAGATCCAGCTTATGTTTAGGGGCCAGGAATATAGCTCATTGGTAGAATGAGTATTTTATACATGAAATACCCTGGGTTTGAGACCAGGAAAGGAATGAAGGTTTTTTTTTGTTTTGTTTTGTTTGTTTTGTTTTTAAAGTCAGTGAGTGTGAGATAGAGAACATGAGAACTGAATGGCAGTTAACTAGTGTATTGTATCTCACCCTACCCTACCATCCCCAGTAGCAGTAGTTTCTAAATGAGGCCTCTGCACTCTGCAGGACAGACTCCATACATTCATTCTTAGCTGTTAAGCTCATGGTCCCTAGCTCCCTTTGCAAATTGTACAAGAATTCTGTTGCCCACTCCCACATCACATCTCTACTTTGAATGTTAAACTAATGGGGGAAAATGCACTCCCCAATTTTTTAAATTATAATTTTACTAGTCCATATGAAATACATCTAATGTGTAGATACTGTATTCATCTTTATCTTTCAAATTGCTTAAGAAGTAGAGAAATAGTCTGCTAACCACTGGTGCTGATGTAGCCTTGCAGGATATTAAGACGGGGTGGTAGAATTGTGGAATGCCTTTGGACCTTTAATTCTTTAAAAAATATTGAAATTAATTTTACAAACAAGCATATAAAGTACTGGGCATCTTGTCCACCTGCCCTGTGCCCAGCCCCTCTGGCTGGTTTCCTTGCTTTCCAGTCACATGAACTGTAGCTCAGTTTCCCCTGTAGGGTCCCTATTTGTCTCTCTTGTGAGGTCCTCTTTCTAGTGGGACCTCATACGTAAAAACTGCTTTTAGCTTTTTAATAGTTTGTGAAAAAGTTTAAATTGATACAAAAGTTAAAGTAAAGTTAAAAAAAAAACACTTAAAAAAAAAAAAAAAAAAAAAAAAAAACATTGTTTTTAGCCAGGAGTTGGTGGTGCATGCTTTTAATCACAGCCCTTTGCAGGCAGAGGCAGGTGGATCTCTGTGAGTTTGAGGCCAGCTTGGTCTGCAAAGCTACTCAGAGAAACCTTGTCTTGTAAAACAAAACAAAACCCCTGTCATTTTAAAGATCTGCACAAAGCTGGGTGCCCTGACATCTGCCTCAAGTCCATGTTAGCTGCAGAGGCTGAACAGGCTTGCTAGAACCTACGTAGGCGTGTGAACCAGCCTGAGCAATATAGCAAGACTATTAGAAACAAACAAAAACTCAAGTTGATCCCATTTTACATACTGATTATATTTTGCTACATTTGTGGTTATGGAAATGGATATTAGCAGCAATTGGCTTTAGAAATTTTTAAAACCAGCTTCTATGTGATAGTCTTGTCATTGGTGTCTTAGTTCAGGTTGAGTTTTCCTCTATACTCTTTGTTCAAGACATTCAGAAGCTGTGTTTTGCTTTGGTCACACTGCATCTGTGTGATGATTGACTGGCTAGTAAGCTATGTATCTTTTTGCTGTAACAAATTAAAAAAACCAACGTCTTTTTGTGGTATTGTCACCCGTCAGCTTTTGTTTTTTACAAAATTGTAAAATAACTGCACCATTTTCCCTTTTCCCTCTCTCCTTCCTCCAAGCCCTCACATATCCTCTTCCTTGCTTGTACCCCAGGCTGTAGCTCCAACTTGTTAGATATCTGGGGGTGACCTTTAATTCTTGTTTTTCCCTATGTTTTTAAATGGTTTTTTACATTCCGATCCCTGTTCCTCCTCCCTCCTATCATCCGCTCCCCTCACTCCCCCTGCTCCCCTCCACCCTCCACCTGCTCCTTAGAGAGGGTGAGGCCTGCCCTAGGAAGGCTACTAAGCCTGTCCCATCATCTCATTGAGGCAGGAACAAGGCACCTCTCCACCCCCACACCCCTGTATTCAGGCTGGACAAGGTGTATCTCCATACAGAATGGGCTCCACTAAGTCAGTTTGTGTATTAGGGTTAGATCTTGGACACACTGCCAGTGACCTCATAAATTGTCTCAATCACACCATTGTCGCCTATATTAAGGGAGTCTAGTTCGGCCTTTTGTGAATTCTCCATTTGTCAGACCTCGGTCAGTATTTTATGAGTATTTTTGCATCTATGTTCTTGAGAGAAATTGGTCTGTAATTCTCTTTCTTAGTTGTGTCTTTGTGTGGTTTGAGTATCAGGATAACCGTAGCCTCATAAAAAGAGTTTGGCAATGTTTCTTCTGTTTCTGTTGTGTGGAATAATTTGAGGAGTATTGGTATTTGATCTTTGAACATCTGGTAGAATTCTGCACTGAATCCATCTGGGCCTGAGCTGTTTTGGTTGGGTTTCTATTTCCTTGGGGTTATAGGTGTGTTTAAGTTGTTTATCTGTTCTTGATTTAATTTTGGTATGTGGTACTTATCTAGAAAATTGTCCAATTTTGTGGAGTACTGGTTTTTGAAGTATGACTTGATGATTCCTGGATTTCCTCAATATCTGTTGTTATGTCCTCCTCTTCAGCTCTGATTTTGTTAATTTGGATATTCTTTCTGTGTCTTTTGGTTAGTTTGGATAAAGGTTTGTCTATTTTGTTGAATTTCTCAAAGAACCAACTCTTTGTCTCATTGATTGCATTGTTTTCTGTGTTTCTGTGTTACTGATTTCAGTCTTCAATTTGACTGTTTCTTGCTGTCTTCTTCTGGATGACTTTGCTTCTTTTTGTTCTAGCATTTTCAGATGT